CCGCCAGGCCATCAAGGACACCAACCCCCCCCCCCCCGGTGTACAAAGGATATTGTCAATCTACGCGCTCAGACATAATGTGTGTAAGGGAGGCACAGGGTGCCACTTCAGAGAGCATCCCATGCTATGCCCATGGACATGTCTTTCACCCACCCCCATCATCAGGGGACATGTAGTGAATGAGTGGCAGCTCTGTGACGTGTAAACTTTCTCCCCTCCCATCAGTTGGTGAATGCTACAGGGAGCTAGGCCATCTGACAGCCACACCAAAATGATATTACAGGAATTAATAAACTAAATAGCAATAATTTTAACACATAGGGAACTAGATTGGTTGCTTGGTAAGCTTGTATTCTGCTTTCAAGTCCATCTCTGGTGAAAAACAATCCCCTTGTAGTGCGGCTGCCCCACACTGCAAGAGTTAACTGCTCTTTCAGGTCTAGGGTCCCTGGGTAAAGCAGTTTTAGTTACCTGACGCCCCGCTCTCCCAGCAGTGTTTGCTTTCCTTGTCTCCCCTCTGCTCTGGCTTGTGGACTGTTCCTCGGCACCCTCACGTATAATACAGGGCTATGGACCCTGCATTGTACTTAATATCAGTGGGCCTCTGACCATCTGAACGTAGGAGAGAAGAGCCTGTTGGTGCCGGTCTTGGAGCCTGTAGAAGCAGGGATTAGGTAAGAAAGTCTTTTACACAGGTACCCTAGACCTAAATGAGGGCAAATTGTTTTTTTTTTTTTTCTTTCCCAGAGATAGGCTTTAAGGGATGGCAAGGCCTGTTAATGAGGACCCTGTAGGTTTTTTTTTTTTACCCCAAGTTTTTTGTTACCTCTTTTAAGATCCCTGCTCTATCACAGTGTAAAAAAAACAACCCTGCTCCAGAGGGCTGGCATTACTGGATTAGGCAGCCGCATGAGTTGAGCTGCAATTTTACATATCAAATGTCTTTGAACTGGCCACACACACACACACACACACACACATTACAGTCTGATTTGTACAATCTGTTCAGGATTTAAATTGGTAATAGGCAGTGTGAGAACCTAATGAAACCATCCATCCAGTTTATATAAAGTCAGCTGGGCTTTCACTACATAGATGTTCATTAGTCGCGCTGATCT